TGGTGGTGGTGGTGGTGTGTTGGTGTTGTTGTTGATTAATTTAGCTTTTTTTATCAACTCCTCGAAGTGACATATCTCTGACATGACAGTCTACGCGCTCTGTGCCACTTTCTAGCCCGACCAGTTCCGTTTAATCATGTAACTGCAAGAAATGGCCAGAAGTTCCCGTTTTATAAACCCGACCCACAGATCACACACTGTCCTTATCTCCCCTCCTTTTGTATCGTGTTTGCTACTTTCTTGTAAAACCTCTAATCTTCTGACGCTCATATGACCTTATGCAGTTGCGAGCACCGTAAAACCGTACTAAAACAAGAGTGCGATCTTCGATATACCCGTTCTCGCAATGCATGTTCCGGGCGGGGGTAGAGGGAGGATGGTGCTCGTTCTTTTTTAAATGGAGAGATGGCATAGGTTTAGCGCCCCTATAAACACTGTTGTTAGCTTATTTAAGAGGCAGGACCCCCCCCCCCGAGTTTGACGTCTATCTCCGAAAGGAACTGGCCAAGTTGTACTTGGTTGGGGGGTTTTTTCATTCTAAAAATACAACTTAGCCATCCCGCTCCTACCCGCCTGGAACACGCATTGCAGGAACGGGTATATTGAAGAGAGCACTCTTGTTTTGTTTTAGTAAGGTTTACTATTTAGGAGACGGGCCACATGTGGTTCGAACTCGTGTCGCCTGTTTATATACATAGACACAAATCTCCGTATGTACGTCTGCTATTGTTCGCTGAAACGTGAGCTCGACTTCCAGTGAGAAAGGTTTTTTTGTTGTTGTTGTTTCAGATCTACGTCGGAACACTAAGTATGTGTCCTATCACACCTACATTGTATATTTACCTAAAGGACCTGAACTGGCATATTGCCTTTTTAAAGTGGAACTTTTGGTGGTATAAAACCGGTCCAAGTTGCAGCCCACTCAATTTTAGTCACAGACGTTCGCTTTGAAAGTGAGGAGAAATCATCCATCATGTTCTTTGTGCTGAAGTTCTTGCTTGTTCTTTTTCTGAGTTCTTTCTTTCTAGCGGAGCAAGTTCACGGGGACAGACACCACAAAGAACAAAAAGCCAAAAGGACCAATAACCTGTATACCGAGGCCTTGTCAAGACTACAGTATCTGAGGGTTCTCAAACAACATCCGGACTACCACAACAACCTGTCTACAAGTCTCCTTTCAGCTGTAGATCAATTTCACTTTTCAGATTTCCTCAGTTTTATTGACAGTTCTGCGAACGAGCGAAAGGAAAATGAACAATCGATTCAAGATAGTGATCACTTTGGTGATCAACAAACAAGGCGAATTGTACGAAGAGAGAGCTCTGTGAAGATAAAAGATGCGTTAGGTGATGATGCAACAACGGACACAGGATTCCGCTCTAACAATGGGACAGAGGAGAAAGAAAGGGGAGATGTTTTCAGAAACGATTCTGCAGCTTGTTTTCAGGATGTGGCCCGAACCATTCAAGCATTTAACGACGGAGAATCATGGGCGGTTGAAAGTAAGTTGGCTTACTACTTGTTAAATCATTCTCGTTATTTTTCTGTCATCAGTGGCGGTCAACAATCGAACACGTCAATAGTTTCTAAAGGTTTAGAGATAACTATGTTGTTCCAATAAAGATATAAGTGGCATCTTACAATACAGTTTCATTGTATTTAGGTATTCCAATGTAGGGAATTATAATTATTTTTATTCCCACGTATCAACAGACGTTGGTGCACCAATGTGTATATCTCTGGGCCCAAAGCCAATATTGTGACTTAAAACTGTGACTTAAAACAATGGGGGAAAGAGCATTTGAATATCAAGGCCCCAAAATCTGGAATGCTTTGCCAAGTACTTTAAGAGAGATCAAATCTTTTGATTCATTCAAATATAAGCTGAAGTCATTTCTTGATTTTCAATTAATAAAATGAATATTTGGAGTGATTTTCTTTCAGTCAGAGCACACCGTTTTATGTTACTGTTGTACGTTGTATTGTACAGAGAACCTGTGTACTCTAATAATCGGGGTTGAGCGCTATATAAACGTCATTTATTATTATTTATTATTATTATCTCTCCCCGGCCCCATTAAATCAAATGGTTTAAAGAGAGAGAATACAGAGATTTGAAGGCTTTGGACTTTCTCTTTTTGACAGTGTTATTCTACTCAGCAATGTGACTGACAGATAAATTATGTCGGCATGTTTCTGTATCACTTACTGGGAGATGATCCCGTCCTTTCCCCACGTTGTCGTTATATTCCTGTCCAGAACGATGTCATCTTTTTCTAAGTGCTAGTTCCCTTAACGATGGCAATACATTGTTGATATATTTCTGTATAGCACCATAGTATTAATATAGTATTTCTGTATAGTACGATAATATTGACATATTTCTGTACAGTACGATAATATTGATGTATCTCTGTATCGTACCAATTGTGGCCGGCCACCGTGGAAAAGGTAGGGAGCTTACCACGTATTACCCAAAAGAAATGTAATGACAGAAGAAATTAAAAGAAACTGTCACAAGGGCTGGGCAAAGAGTCGCTTTAGGAAAATCCGGATAATATGTTAGTGCACCTCTTCAGCAAATAATAGGACGTAAACCGCTTCGGCAAATGGGTTCGAACCACTTCGACAAACGGGTTAGCACTACTTCAACAAATGGGTGCACCCACTTCGGCAAACGGGTCAGGAAAGAGAGTTAATAGTTTGAATTCGGATAATGTTTCATTGATAATTATCCGGTTATCCTTATAGATTATCCGGATTTTGCCCACCTCTAACTGTCACACAGACACCTCGGGGGCCCTTGACGGTCCGTTACCCGTTGTAAAAAGTTAATAGGACATTATAATAGCACACAATAGTAGCCAACATGCACATTGACTGGGGGAACTGAAAACAAAAGAAGAAAGAACATTGTACCAAGTGGAAGTACAAAACAGATACGAAGTTCTCAGAAACGAAGCAATGGAACAATTTAGAAGAGACACTTGTAAAGAAAAGACAAACATTAAATGGAAAAACTTCAGAGACAGCATGAGATGTGGAGTAGAAAAACTGCTTTAAAAAAAAAGAACAACCAATAAACCATAGGTCACTGGAGAAAGCTTAGAACTAATGGCAGAAAAGAAGAGAGCCAAAAACACACCAAAATACAAAGACTTAAACAAATTAATCCAACTAAAATGCAAAGAGGCCAAGGAAGCTTGGATTGATAGAAAATGTTCAGAAATAGATATAGGAAATAAGTAAAACAACTCTAGAAAGATACATGACAACATTAAGGAACTCATCGGAAGAGAGCACAACAAAAGATCGTCAGGAGGCGTTGAAGAAAAGAAAGGCAAAATGTTATTTGAGAAAAAAGAAATCCTAGAAAGATGGGCGGAATATGTTGGAGAACTATTTGAAGATAAATGACCACCTCTACCACAACCAAGCAACAACAATGGTCCCAACATTCTAAAATCAGAGGTAGAGCTCGCAATTAGAAACACCCTAGAAGGAAAAGCCCTCGGTGAAGATGGCATGAGCATAAAAATTATGCTGAAGCAATTAGATCAGTTTGGCATTGACACTATGACAGAATTTTTCAACAATATCTATGAATCAAGACATGTACCAGAAGAGCTACTCCAATCAGTTTATACTATCCCCCAAAAAACAAAAAGCAACAAAATGCGAGGACTTTAGGACCATCAGTCTAATGCCACATAATTATGATGAAAATATTTTTAAAGACATTTTGGGGAGAATCAAGGGCAAAATTGACCAAAACAAATTGGAGAAGGACAGTTTGGCTTGAGGTCTGAAAGTGGCACCAAAGAAGGAATCTTCTACATGAACACAGTAGAACAGAAAAATATTCAAATCCAACAAGACCCGTTTGCTTACTTTATTGACTACTCAAAAGCTTTTGACAGAATCCATCACATCAGGCTGATTGAGAGTTTGGAGAAGATAGGTATTGATGGCAAAGATATAAAAATCATAGGAAATCTTAACTGGCAGTAGAAGGCATCAATTAAAATATGTAATGAAATATCAGAATATATTAAAATCCATAGATGAGTGAGACAACGTTGTGTCCTCTCTCCCTTTCTTTTAACATCTATACAGAGATGGGTCTTGAACATCTAGCTCTCACTGGCAAAATTGAGAGCAAGCGAGGTAGGGGTAGGCCCAGAACAACATACTTAGGGAACCTAAACAAATGGGTAACAGGAAAAGATCAGGGAAACGTAGCTTTTTTTAAGATCATCCCAGCAAAGGAATGAATGGAAAACCGTGATCACCGATGTCTGTCGCAGATCTGGCACTGGATGATGATGACAGAGTTTATTTTTAGAGAATCTCAAAACCTGCAGGAAGTCATTATTCGGGGCCGCAACATCAATAACCTGATATACGCAGGTGATACAGTTCTGTTTGCATAAGCAAACGAATATCTGTCTAAAATTGTGAAAGTAGTAAAAGCGAATAGCAACAAGGCAGACCTTGACATGAACGCTAAGAAAACAAAGACAACGGTCTTATCAAAATCGTTTAGAAAAACAACAGACATAAACATAGATGGGCAGATTGAACAAGTGCACTAATTCAAGTATCTAGGAGCAACAATCACAGATGATGGAAGAAGTGAACAAGAAATAAACATAAGAACAGTAGCTGCAAAAGCAAGATTCAGCCAAATATACAAACTATTTAAATTCAGGCAACCGTCTCTCACTTTAAGAATAAACAGTGCCGGAATGCTACATCTTCCCCATATTCCTAAATGGCATAGAGGCCTGGACTTTGACTAGGAAGGAAGAAAACAAAATAAATGCGTTTGAGATGTGGTGCTACCGTAGAATGGTCAGAATAAGTTGAAAAAAAAGACAAAGAGGTGTGTCAGATTCTACACACAAGGCAAACTCTGTTGCACAAAATGAAATATAGAAAATACACTACTTTGGCCACTTAAAACGTCACGAGGCCGTTAAGAAAGAGGTGCTTGAAGGAAAGATGTGGGACAGGAGAGCTAAGAGCATGGACTGGCCTGGACATGGCAGAATGCAACGAGCAATGACAGGTCACGACCGTAAAAGATGGAGGGTCATTGCATGTCAACCTCTGAGTCAGAGATGACATCTCCAGGTATCCAGATATAGTACCATGATGTTGATATATTTTTGTATAGTACGATAATATTGATATGTTTCTGTATAGCGCCATGATATAGATACATTTCTGTATAGTACGATAATATCAATATATTTCTGTATAGCGCCATAATATTGATATATTTCTGAATAGCACCATGATATTGATATATCATTTCTGTCATGAGTGACTCGATCTTTTCCCTAGTGCTTGACGCGTGGGGCAAGCCTGGCCCCTCCCTCAAAAGGGGGAGTTTCCAGTTTGTGGGTAACTACGACCAGTGTAGAGACGCCAGGGCCCCGCCCCTTCCGGGAGGAGAAAGGCAAGGCTTTTACGGCCGTTATTGTGTTCTCCGTCTGAACTATGGACAAGAGGTGAGTGGGGGGAGTGGGGGGA